AAACTACCGCAGAAATCATTGAAGGCTTTTCGATAGAGTGTGTTAAGGGCCGTTTTTTGGTGGTTCAGTTTTATCAGATATTGCTACTCTCAAAGGAAATAGACGCAAAATTTGATAAATTTTGCATATTTTCATCAATATCTCGAAGAAACTAGAAACTATAACAAAAGTCATTAGAACCTTTTTGATTGAGCGTCCCCAGGGCTGTCTTTTACTGATTTACCGTGTTTGAAAATTTTCCTTTGGAAAGGAAGTAGACGCAAAATTTGATAATTTTGGCATATTTTTATCAATATCTCGAAAAAAATAGAAACTATCGCAAAAGTCATTAGAACCTTTTTGATTGAGCGTCACAAGAGCTGTCTTTTACTGTTTTACAGTGCAGGAAAATTTATCTTTTGACAGGAAGTAGACGCAAAATTTGATAAATTTTGCATCTTTTTATTAATATCTCGAAAAAAATAGAAACTATCGCAAAAGTCATTAAAACCTTTCTGGTTGAGCGTCTCAAGAGCTGTCTTTTACTGATTTACAGTGTTGAAAAAATTCTCTTTTGACAGGAAGTAGACGCAAAATTTGATAAATTTTGCATATTTTTCTTAATATGTCGAAAAAAATACAAACTATCGCAAAAGTCATTAGAACCTTTTTGATTGAGCTTCTCAAGAGCTGTATTTTACTGATTTACCATGTTTAAAAATTTCTCTTTTAAAGGGAACCAGACGCAAAATTAGATAAATTTTGCATATTTTTCTTAATATCTCGAAAAAAATAGAAACTATCGCAAAAGTCATTAGAACCTTTTTGATTGAGCGTCTCAAGAGCTGCCTTTTACTGATTTGTCGTGTTTGAAAATTAATATTTTCAAAGGAAATAGACGCAAAATTTGATAAATTTTGCATATTTTTATTAATATCTCGAAAAAAATAGAAACTTCCGCAAAAGTCATTATAACCTTTTTGATTGAGCTTCTCAAGAGCTGTATTTTACTGATTTACAGTGTAGGAAAATTTCTCTTTTGACAGGAAGTGGACGCAAAATTTGATAAATTTTGCATATTTTTATTAATTTCTCGAGAAAAATAGAAACTATCGCAAAAGTCATTAGAACCTTTTTGATTGAGCGTATCAAAAGCTGTCTTTTACTGGTTTACCGTGTTTGAAAATTTAGCTTTTGAAAGGAAGTAGACGCAAAATTCTATAAATTTTTTCTCCTCGTACCAATTGACAGACCTGTCAACTCGTACGAGGACGGACGAATTGACAGATCTCCAACCAATAGAAACACTTTCGTACCATCGTATCATCGTACAAACGGATGCGTGGGACACGGGCTTTAGTCTGGCCGCAAATCCCTTAAACCAGTGGCGTGCTGCATGCACTTTCAGTGTCTGGCTCTGTTCACGGGCGCTTTATGCCATGACCTGGACCATCGCGGGAAAAACAACAAATTCATGTGCGACACTGAGTCCCCGCTGGCCTCCATCTATTCCACCTCCACAATGGAGCATCATCATTTCAATCAGACTGTGACCATCCTGCAGCAGGTGAGTTTGGAAACACGCATTTCGGGACGCAAAAGGGGGCCCGAGCACGCAAACCGCGGCCCATCAAAGCGGGCAGTGAAATTTAATGTCAACTATAACAGGCGGTTATTGGCCATTAAAACTATAGGGCCGCATTAGCCTGATTAAAGGGTTGCAAGCTAGAATAAATTGCATTTATTGGCGAAATAAAAAATCGGGTTAATGGAGCTGGGCCAGCACTAGAAGAAGAACTTGGGGACATTTCCAAAAAACTAGAGGGCGCAAGGGAAGAAAAAGCCCTCCTGGAAGCCTCAGAGGACCTAAGGAGGTCCAACTGTCTGGCAGGGGCGGATCCTGTTTTTTCCGTGTCGTTTTCCTGTTTTCCTGTAAATTTCCTGTTTTCCGTGTCGTTTTTGCTCATTTCTCAGAGGCAAAATGAGCAAGAACGCTCATTTGTACATCTTTCTAGAGAAAAATAAATGGCCTTTTTAGAAAGTGAACCATGGATGGGGAAATGTTGGCAGTTTTCTCAAAAAATGCTTGAATTCAAGAAGTTTTAGATTTGCGT